AACAAAGAAAAGAGAGTGAGTCATTGAAACACCTGGAACTATTGTTAACATTCTAAATGTCAGAGATTTAATTTGTAATTGTCTATATTTCATATTGTTACTGGCAGTTGAGATAGGTCTTGGATAATATTTTTTGCAGTTGAAATACTTATGTTTTCATACATATGTATTTCATCCTTTTCTTTTTTCAAGATCTAGTGTAGAATAGAATTTCCTTACAAACTTCACAAATCCCCTGGATCACTGATCTAGAACCAATAGTGTTCAATTTCAACTACTAGTCAACATGTACCATTAATATTAATAGTGAGTATTTCCATATTGGTAGGTGTATATACGCACTTGAGGTTATAGCTTCTTAATATAACAATTAGTGTGGTTTGAGGTAAGTAGCTTTATAATTAAATGTATAGCCATTAGAGATCACAAATTTCATAGGCTTATAAACTCAAAGATGTATTCAGAATCCATTTTTCATAGAAAAAACAAATAAAATAATCCTGATAAAAAACATACATTGATTATTCAGAAAAAGTTCTAGAAAATTTCTTGAGGAAATTCTCATTCATCGATTCATTACAGTAGTCCCCCCTTATCTGCAAAGGATTCGTTCTTAGACCCCCAGTGGATGCCTGAAATCAAGGATAGTACTGAATCCTATATATACTATGTTTTTTCCTATACATACATATTTGAGTTGTGACAGCAAAACTAGCACAAATTTCTTTTTCCTTCTTCAAAATTTCACGGATAGAAGATCTGCTCTTACTGTAGATCTTAGCAACCTCAGCATACGATTTTTTTTCTTTCTCCATTAAGTCGAGAACTTTCACCTTTTCATGTAAAGGAAACCCTTTACAGCTCCTCTTTGGCGTATCCGAATTGCCAGCATCACTGCTCTTGTGCTTTGGGGCCATTAAGTACAGTAAGGGTGACTTGGACACAAGCACTGCAGTGCTGTGACAGTCCATCTGATAACCGAGAGGGTACTAATTCTCTAATGGGCAGGTGGCGTGTACAGTGTGGATCTGCTGGACAAAGGGATGAGTCACATCCCAGGCGGGGTGAAGCGGGAGGGTGTGAGATTTCATCAGGCTACTCAGAACGGCACACAATTTGAAACTTATGAATTGTTTATTTCTGGAATTTTCCATTTAATATCTTCAGACTGTGGTTAACTGTGGGTAACTGAAACCACGGAAAGTGAAACAGTGGATAAGGGAGGACTCGTGTATTCATTCAAAAACAACAAGAACATTTATCATTTAGAATGTGCTAAATGCTGTGATGTGGGGATTGGGGAGACGAAGAAAACTAACATGTGGTTTCCTGTCCTCATAGTAGTTTCTCTTTAGTGAGGGGGGTAAGTATGTGAACCTTAATTGCAATAAAATAAATTGTTGCTAAAATGGAGGAATGGGTGAGGGTCAGAAGGGAAGAGTAGGAGGGTGATAACCTCGAAAGGAGGAAGTGGAGGACGGTTTACAAAGGAGGTGATTCCTGAAGCTAAATCTGGAAGGATGAGGAGTTTGCAGGTCACAAGGGGATGAGTAGATATTGAGACATTCTAGTTGGAAGAAGCGACATCACAAATATGGACACACAGATCAGCTCAACATCTTCAGTCACTTCTATGTACTTTGAGATGTCAGAGACGCAGGTCAAGAAGAACAGGAAGCTGGAGAGAGAGGCAAGGGATGGATCGTGACAAATTAAGGTGACAGCAGTCAGCATGCTTGTGTTTTTCTCGAGTTACCACTCACACTCAGGTTCAAGAGTAGCGGAGCTGGAGATGTGAGTTTACTCAGAATTACACTTTTTACTGAATATATAAACTCTAACAAACATGTGGGAAGAACCCGCCTGAAGATAAATCTAACAGAGAAGAAAGCAGAGCTGAGACTGAGGAAGTATTGAGGACACAGTTGGAGAGCCTGGATTTGGCCTGAATGCCACACCACACTTTGGCTTTTGGTTACCTAAGGCAATAAAGTCCCACTTTTCATTAGCCAACTGGGTTTTTGTCACTTGATATTGAGAGTCCTATTTCATATAATGAACCAAAGAGGAAAGAATTTGACTGTGTTTATCCATATGCATGTCCTAATATGAGGGGAAGGGAGGGCAAGTGGGTCTTTACAGTTCCAAACTCATAACTTCTCATTGCTTATTATGTTGCTTGAGCTGGGTATTTTCTACTGCTATTTACTATTTAAAAAAAAAATTTGATATTGAACACAGCCACCTAAGTCTGTTTGCCCCAACAACTGGATGGATAAGTTTGGAAGAATAAGGTGAAATGGGGTGGGAGGTTACTTTCATAAAACAACCTTTGTTATTCAAAGATATCAAATGCTCTGCCTGGAGAGATTCCATTTTTTTTTTTCTGTAATAGACTGATAGGTTAGGGGAAAATCAGGCCTATCTATCCTTTATTTAATGGATCACATATTGATTTAATAAAAACTGCATGAATGTAAAAACAAACAAACCAAAAATCTAAACAAATGAACAGACATTTCTGGCAAGGTTAGCAAGACAGAACGTTAAAATCAGATAGTGGAAGAATCTGCCCAATTTAAACCCATCTAATTATAAACTCATTACCACCAAACCTGGAGCTAAACAAATTCCTGTGGAAGACTGTTACTTAATTTCCTCAGTTAATAACAGAGCAGACTTGAGGCTACAGGCATCCCCCACACTGCTTCAGTGGAAGTATTTGTGGAAGCACGGAATCCGGTGATGTTGGGTAGGGGTGCAGTTTCTCTTAGGTTCACGGACTCAAGCACAGTGCCCCAAGTAATTTAGATCCCAGGCATCTGACAGGGACCTGCTACTCCTTATGCCCAAAATCATTTAATTATGCTCTGAAAGTGAGTAAGTTGTAGGGGAAGTTTTTGGATCATTGTTTGAAACTGTTTGAAGCTTGTTCTGAGTCACACCAAACCATTTACCTCAACCTCTAACCGATCACTATAGTCAGTTCTGGAAAGATTCAGAGACAGCCTACTCTATTTTAAAAGGGCCATCCTTACAGTCCTACAAAACTACGGCTTGATCAACCTTCTCAGTGTCCCCTCAATTATTTATGTTACGCTTTCCCTTAAACCACATGTGAGGTCTCCAAGTTGAGTATTTTGTGTTAGAAACAAGAGGGTATTAGGCACGGTATTACTCTACTATTTACTACTGTTGTTTTCAAGAAAATAAGATTGTTTGCTTCACACATTGATCTTCCGCTAAATTTTGACTGCATAGCCTAGGGAATCAAGTTAACTCAAAACTGAGGCCTAGTATTATGATTCCAAAAACATGGGAGCAAATACCACTCTCAAAGTGAACTACAGGGGAAAAATTTCCAGACACACCCATTCACAACCTCATGTAATATAAATCAGTATTGTATTTATGTATCTGTCTTTCGACTAATGTCTTCACAATGTGATACTGATTGTGGACAGCTGTGTATGTTTCATGGTGGCTGATACAAAGAGAAGTCTGTTCCTACATGCTGGTGTCATGGGCTTACTTTTCAACAACTAGAATTGATTTCTGGATACAAGTAATTCTGCCATCCTACTGCTGCTGGAAAGAACTGCACATCGTCAACTTTATCAAAACTAAAATCAGTTTCTTTGGCAGACAAAAGGCAATAGATCAAAACCCTGCCAACAAGATCACCTATTCCAGTTTGTACACGTGTATTCTTTCTGTAGCTCCTCCGGGAGAGCATGCTGCAGAACTAGGCAGCTCAATAGAGACCTTTTTCCATGGCAGCATTGTTCCTTGGGTTTCTTTTTGATGACTTGGAACACCTGCTCTGAAAATTTTCCAGGCCAGAGTCATTTTTTTTTCACAGTCTCCTGTGGTGTGAAACTCTGGGCTTTCAATCTAGAGTAGGCTTAATTGCGGGAGCAAATTCAAATCTGCTTCCTAAGGACAATCTTTGCTTTGCCTGAAGCCCAGCTCAGTGCAAATGTGGGAGCTTTTATTTTGCATGGGCAAAAATGTTGGTTGGGCATCTCAGCTTTAATAGCAGAAAGATTTCTGAATCTCTTCACCTTATTTTTAAAGCATTTGCATCATCCTTCAAAACAAAAATAGAGAATTCACATTCTAATCCCTCATTAAAGACTAACCTTAAATTTCTTAGTAAGCATCTTCTGGGGTATCTGTTCAGCTCTGTCTCTGAAAACTGCCTCCATCCACAGCGAAGGGCCTTGGAAGATGGTTCTGTCTGTCTCTAGCTCCCAGTCACATGAAACGGATTAGGGATGGAGATCTGGCTCAAACTGCGCCAACCACATTCTCTCTTCCAGGAATATGGGATTAGGATTCACCACAGTTTGGCAATTTTGATCCATGGTTGAAATGAAGGGCAAATGTGAATTTGCAAGCCATAGGACAAATAGATCTCCTTTCCTAAATGAACACAGATGCAGGTAAAAGGAGTCTTTAGAGAAACAGATATGAGTGGCTGTGTGCACCAAGAAAAAGACTGGCTGCTTTTCACTTCGAGAGCTTTCTGATTTCTTGGCTCAGTCCTGTCTGAAGCTCAGGTTTACTCCCCATATTTCCTCTGCGGTCCTGTCTGGGAGATTCTTGTCTCTCTTTCTGCTTAATCTAGCTCGTGGTATATTTGATACCTGCAATCCAAGGGTCTTAGTTAGGCTATTCTAATTTTCCGTTCCTGAAAGACAAAGGGCAAAGGATGAAATATTTAGAAAAGAAGTTTGCAGGGCGATTCTTTTTCTTCACTTTCTAGGTACATTTTCTCTCTGGAAGTCCGTATGTGTGGAATGTATTAGGTAATTGTCCTTTCTCCCTTCTCTCACTCCCCCCGTGGAAATATCACCTTCAATCAGTGATACTGTACTCTGGCTCTGCTTCTATCCAAGGCTGTGGTTAGAAAGCAGCACACAAAGCAAGCAAACGAACACCTGCATTTGTTGAACAAACTCCACTTGAGGCCGTCATCCTCGCCGCCCTCTGTATACCTTGCCTACGGCATTTGTGCTTCACGTCATGAGAGCGTGATCGCGTCTCTACTCTCCGGCTGCCGCCAGAAATCTCAGAGGCGGAGACGGTGCAAACGTGGTGCATCTCTAGAAAAAATTAGCCAAAGGAGACTTTTCTCCCTCTTGTTTTTATGGATTTAATTTTCTACTTCTAGATCCAATTTACTAAACATTTTATATATGTGTTTTCAACGGCTTCACCTGTTTTTAGGGAGAAGAAAAGTGCAAGTAAAAATCAACATTCCTTTGTTTAGTTAATCAAGCTTTCTGAGAAAGCATTCCTATAAAATTAAGGGTAAGTTAGATGTTAGCATATGCATGGGATAAGTCATGCTACTTACTGCTTAAAGCATTCAGCTTTCTTCCTAGAACATGAAATTTGACTATCTTTGTAATTCTCCCTCATTTCTATAGTGACATTAATGACTTAGTTATATATGTTTGGGCATTTTCTGTTAAACAAAATTCTTGATTAAATAATTCTGGATGATTAGCAGAAAAGTGTAATAGAGGTCACTTTTAGCCCCTTTTAAAACACAGGAGAAGAATTTCTAAATTTCACATACTTATTGCTTGACTACTTCATGCATTAAGTTCTTTATTTTTCCCCAGCAATGGAGATGCATATATACAGCTTCAAGTGAGTTTTTCTATACTGCTTCTCAAGTATTTTTCTAACTGTTCTTATTTTCCAAGCGGAGCTTTGCTGTTCTTCACTTGCCCTGATCTCCCCTTCCACACAGTATGAGCTCCTGGAACTCATAAGCTAAGGGTGCTTGTGAGGCCCCTCAACTATCTTCCCAGTCGTGGACCAAGTGAATGCCCCTCTCCTTCTGTCTGTAAGTCCTCAGCCTTAGGGGCCTCTGGAGGCCAGTGATCAATGCAAAGGTAGAGCCGCCCCATTACCTTCTTACTGACTCACTTTTACCTTTCTTTCCAGTAAAGTATTTCTCCCTCCATCTTAAGCAGTAAGAGCACCGGGGAAATGGTGACATAGACAAGTTTCAGATGCAGAAGTTTTTCTGGTTTTAAAACTCATTACATTTATCTTACCTGCTTCTATTAATGATGTCAAGGGTAGGGTAGAGTCTGATCATGAATGATATACTTTTACAGTCCTTAAAAATATTGCTAAATTCAGGAAAATAGCAATTGTACAGGTACACAACTTAAAAAAAATCCCCATAGGTGCTACTCGGGTACCTGAACTGCATGTTTTTGCTTAACAGAGGTTGGACCTTTAAGCAGGGTGAGAGAGAGAAAATGACAAAAAGACAGCCAGGTAGTTATAAAAAGGTGCAGCTCCTAAGATGGATGAATACAGTGAGAAGTGGGTCTCTAACGGACAGGAATTAGCTGTCGACGATTCAGAAGGCATTTTGAGCTGCTGCACAGAACACGACAGAAGAAAGAGGAAGGTGCTGCAGGCAATTAGACACCCAAGTCTCCGTGGAATGCCCCCCGCATGCTCTGTTTGTCTGCCAGCAACTTGGATTAATTTGGAAAAGAATGGAGCAGCCCTCTTTCCAGTCATGATGCAAGGTAAACATGTGATTTTATAAAAGCTCAGATATTCTCAAACCTGTATCTGTTTCATAATTTGAAAAACTAAAATCCTTGCTCAAACAAGATATTCTGTGCTTCTTACTTACAGACGCAGCAGCATAATGAATACCTATTCTGAGCCAAAATACAGTTCCCCATACACACCTCAGTTTGATTTTCTTTGGGTTGCTTACTCCTGTGCAAAGAAATCAGTTAGATACTTATTTATTTAATTAAAAAAAATTTATAGTGGGGTGGGTGGCTATGGGTATGTTAAGTCTCGTCATTTCTACTTGAAATCCAAAGAGGATTCCACAGAGGGTACCCTAAGGGAGGTTTCTTGCCAGAATTACATTGTTCTTTTTTCTTTTTTCTTCTTTATGGAGATGAGTGGCAGCTGATTCACAGCACAGGCTCATAAAACATCACATTGGACTCAGTGAAGGAGTCTGCCTCAGAAGAAGGGCAGTAATTATTACAAAACAAACATTTTTAGAGAGCTGACGTGTGCCCTCCGCAGTTCTGAACACCTCACATGCACTAACCTATGTAATCTTCACAACAGTCATATGAGACAGTAGTATTATTAGCTCCACTTTTAGATGGAGAAGCTGAGGCACAGAGAAGTTAATTAACTTGCTCACAGTCATGCACACAGAAGCGGCAGAACCTGAATTTAAGTACAGATAGTCTGGTTCCAGCCAGCCCCGGTGGTGTAGCGGTGAAGATCCGGCACTCTGACTGCCGCGGCCTGGGTTCATTTCCAGGTCAGGAAACCACATAACCCGTCTGTTGGTTGTCATACTGTGGTGGCTGCATGTTGCTATGATGCATGAAAGCTATGCTACCACTATTTCAAATACCAGCAGGGTCACCTATGGTGGACAGGTTTCAGTGGAGCCTCCAGACTCAGGCAGACTAGGAAGAAGGACCTGGCCACCCGTTTCTGAAACTGGCCATGAAAACCCTGTGAATAGCAGTGGAGCATTGTCTGATAGAGCTCTGGAAGGGGTGAGGATGGCACAACAAGACCACGCAGGGCTCCACTGTGCTGTCCACAGGGGTGCTAGGAGTCAGAATCTACTCGATGGCACTAACAGCAAAGTCCAGTTCCAGAGTCTGAGCTTCTAACCACTAGGCTATATGGTCTGTTGGCACTGAGACCTTTCACAATTGAAGTATTTAAAAGAAACGTGGCCCAATCCATAAATAATTTGATTACTATAGAATCAGGAGGGAGGGTCAGTGGTTCTGGGTCCACAAGCCGATGCTGTTGGAATGGGACTGATCCAGGCTCCCTGACTTCACTGTGCTGGCTAAGATCTGCTCTCTCCGAAGTTCAAGTGTGCAGGAGCCTGGCTGAGTTCAGTTCTCCAGTGCTTAAGCCCTGAGAGGTCAACGCAGCTTGCAGAATCCCACTTATCCTCATATGTCACCTATAAACATTAAACAAAAACTAACACCAAGACCAGCCAACTAATCTCAAGGGTAGCTAATGGGCACAAAAAATAAATGTCAAACAGAAGAATCAGAGAACGACTTGATTGCTACAGTAGAGTGTCTATATGCAAGACGATAATAGAGAATGTCGTTTTGTTTTTTAAATACAAACTTGAAGTTGTTAGAATGGAATTTTAGGGTTGAAAATTAATAACAATAATATCAATATTAATAGTCAACTCATACTGAGCTCGAACCACATATGAACCATACTAGATAATCTTCTAAGTACATGCATCGGATCACTGCTACTCAGGAGAACACTAGAAAGTAGGTGGTATTCTTATCGTCATTTTCCAGATGTGGAAACTGAAGCACACAGTGGTTAAGTGACTTGCCCAAAGTCTGACGTCTAGGAGGCGACAGAGTCAAGATCTAAATCTAGGGTTCAGTCCAAAGCTTGAGCTTTTAGACAAAACTCTTCAGCACTAGTTCTCTTTAGCTATTTATCTGTGAAATATCTGCCAAATTGAATTGCACAAATCAGTTGCTAGCATGAAAAATTTCCTTGTTCTGTCTCATTCTTTATATCTTTCCCTTTCTTCAGGTGGGTGAAGGCCTTCCTCCATGAAGCTTTCTCCAGCTGCCTAGCTGGCAGTAATAATTAGGATTATAGCGATAGTTAACACTTAATGATCACATTAAGAGGCAGGCACTCCCTCTCCTCCTCCTCAGCTGCGCTCTTCTCCAGAGCACCTCTCGTCAGCCGACTTAGATGGGGTTTCCTGGGACACAGGTTCTGCAACTGAGCCTCGCATGCAGCAGGGTTACTGAGGAGTGACCTCAGCATGGACATGTGAGGCAGAGAGGGAAGCAGACCTACAAAGACCTCAGTGACCTCAGAGAGTTCTGGAACTGAGATGGCCCTTTAGATTCGGCCTGAATACAAGCAACGGGATGAATCTTTGTACTGCCCATTGACTAGTCTTCGATCCTGCCTGCCCCTGGGAAGAGGGAATGACTCTGGGGCACACAGCTTCTTCTGGACAGAGGCAACGTCGGGGAAGGAATTCAGCGACAAGCCCTCAGCAGGCAGCACTCCCAGGAGCTGAATAAGTGCTGGTCCTGAACGGGAGACCCAGGCAGCACCTCACAGCTCTGCGTCACCTGGCATCTAAATATCTTACTTATTGGCTGTCCACTGCCTCTCTGCTCTCAAGAAGGTAGGCTCTAGGACAGCAAGGGTCTCTGTCTGTTTCTGCCGTACCCGTAGCATGTAGAATAGCACTTAGTACAGAGGACAGAGTGGGCTCTCACAAACCTTTGTGGAATGAACTGGTGTACAAACAAATGAATACATTTCTAGTTTTCTGATGAGGAAATGAAAGCTTAAATAGGCTAAATTGCCTTCCTGATGTTCTAATACCTAGCGAGTGGCAGAGCTTGGTCTGGCCCAAGTCCTTAATCACCTCACCAGGAAGTTTCCCATTTTTAGAGCAAGGGAAGACAATTTAGCACATTTCCTTTATTTTATTGACAAGGAATTAATGTCTAGAGTGGAGAATCCTCCTAAGCCAAGATACTATGTCCTACAGCGCCCAACTGAATATATCATTTTGCCTTTACCAATTAGAACACACAACCGAGTAGCCTGGCCTGAGACAAGTCACTGACACCTTTGTATGGCACATTACTCTTGGTGTCTAACTTTGCTACCATATCACCTTTACCTCTATGGTATCTAGATTCATAGTTTCCCAGATAACTTAATTTCCAGGACTTCAGCAACTGACCAATTTTCATCGAAGGTTTGGCATGGGATGGCTCAGTTCCAGTTTTCTCAGGAGGCTCTGGTGAGCAGGTAGTAATTCACTGCGTCTTGAAAGTCCAGAGACCAATATGAACTGTCAAGGAGAAATATGCAGGCTTACACTGGCAGAGAACAAGCACGCATTAGAATTTAAATTGCTAATTCCCCAGGTTCCAGCACCTTGGTAGGTGAATTCTTAAGGCTAAAATAGTGTCTTGGGAATTTGGAAGTTATGACAGCTATAGGTGTGACAGTGAAAAAGATATTTGGAAGGTTTTATTTTTAGTGTG